TAGGAGAGGAAAAAGATTTATTTTTGATTTTGGGGTGAACTGTCCCTTTAATAATTTTGGTTCACACAATTTTCTCTTAAAGAAGAATGTGCAGATACATGCACATGGCCCTCACTAATGACCTCTGATCAGAATCACGTGTTAATATCCTTTCTCCTTCCCTGCCAGGTCCTCATTCGCCTCCATATCCAGAGGAAGGTGGTCGTGATCCCCAAGTCAATCACACCTCAGCGCATTCAGGAGAATTTCCAGGTAATTAACTCAGAAATTGTTGAGATATTTTCCAGGATAAGCCCTCAGTGTGTCTCACTTACTTACCGTTTTGGCTGCAGGTGTTTGACTTTGAACTAAGTGAGGAGGAAATGAAGACTATATTAGGATTTAACAAGAACTGGAGAGTCTGTCCCATGCAATGGTGAGGGCATAAATCATTGTGTTTTTTTCTTTTTGTAACTCTGAAAAAGGTGTCGGGTAACTTTTTTTAAATTTTCCTTTTTCTCCTTCTCTGCAGGAGCACAAAGCACAAGGACTATCCATTCAACACTGAATTCTGAAATGAAAAATAATGCACATATTCCACAGGTTTACAGTGGGAGGCAGGGTTTGCTTCTCTACCTTCTAGGCTGCTCGCTTTCCTGTTCTTTAGAGCAGTTTGTAAAATTAGTGTGGCCTTGCATCAGATTCTTATTTTCAAACACTGACTACTTTAGTTACCTGTATTGTCTTGATGAAAACTGGTAACGAGTTGTATGCACACTCCTAAGACTCATATATACCAAATGTTAGATGCTCATTTGATACAAATTTGGGCCATTGTGAGTATGAGTTTGCACTAGTATAGATGAGTATCTTTTAGTTTCATTTTCTGTTCTGTCAGCCTGTGCTTTTTCACTGACATTTGGTGTGGGGTGAATTCTACTTGTTTACTGTGTGGTCAGTGTGGCATCAAAAGTTACTGAAGAACCTAAATGTGTGCCATATTCAAGCACTTCCTGTTATTACTCGTGAGTCATAAATAGCACTTTTTCATCATGTGTATTGACCCTGTTAAGAAATAGTCCCTTTCACTTCCCATGTGAGCTTTTTTGTTAAGCATCGCAATAAAGTGTTGTGAGAGAAAATAAAATGATTTGCTGCAAGTTTATTAAACAGCTGAGAAGAGACCACTCAGGCAAAGTGAAAGTCTGTGCTCCATAGTGACCACTAGGGGGCAGAAAACCTAATAGTGATACTAAGGGAATGGATGAATTGAATGCTGTGGCCTTCAAATGTGTCTACATAACATACAGGTTTGCTTACACAGACATAACCAGCCATAATTAAATGTACTGTGACATCTAATGCCCCGTTTTGACTTGTAGTTAAGGAACTAGTAGCTTTGAGTATCCTGCTAGTTACTGTTTAAAAGTAAGGTAATGACATGCAGTATTATGAGTAACAGGTGACAGAAGAACACTTTGGCTTCATGTGCTAAAGGCAGTGTTGGGGTCATAACTTCAAAAAGTAATGTACTAATCGTTGCTCATTACTTATATACATTTTACATAATTGCAAGTCAATGATTAAATGTTAAACCCTACTTGTCAGCACAAGACAAGGATTAGGACAATCAAGACAGCACTGCAGTCGGCTAGCTGCCTGAAGATTAAACTAAGTCAGTGATTCAGAGAATCCCTACACACTGTCCTATCACTTGCACTAAACTTAGTAAGTAAATTCTGTCGTCAGACAGTCATCAGATCACTTAATAAATGGTCCAACAACCACCGACTTTTACCCAGGAGGCAGGTGTTTACTTCCTGTATGACCGTAAAGCCAAACCCTGTCATTTTTTTCCAAGTGCAACAACATGCTTTTGTTGCCTAAACACAACCATGTGCGTGCATTTTGAAAATTTAACCATGTGCGCTAGTTGTTGAAGGAAAAACACGTTAACTCACGTTGTGGTATCTACGTAGTGCGTTTATTTTGAAAGACTATGCAAACTACGTTGCCGGTAAAAACCGAAGTGTATTTTGAAAACAGACACGTCATCTCGATGTGGAAAGTCAACGACCAAACATCAATATGTGACAAGGTCGAAGTAAGAATGTGTTATCAGATCACACCGTCTCCCTTCAGCTCTCTGGTGGATTCAGGTTCACCAACTGCCCAGTGCGAACAGAGACAGGCGCTAAACTGCTTTCCTGCTTCCTTGCGTCTTTATAAACTAAAACTCAGCTTGAAATAATGTTTACATGTGGTTCTATCTGTGTACGCGTCTGAACACATCTCAAAATAACACGTTGCTGTGGTCACATTAACAAACACTGGCCAAAGGTGTCCTCAACTGAACCTGTGGGTTCTGTATGATAATGATGTACAGGTGAGAGTGTATGTGTTTATGGCAAGGAGGACGGGTAAACAGAAAGAGGGTAATAAAACCGCAATGAGTGGTGCATGAATTAGTGCATGAATTCTCCAGTAATGGCCATAGACAATGAAAATCTAATCAGTTCATCAATGAGTCCACATGGATGTTTGTGCCAAGTCTAACAAAATTCAAGGTGTTTTTGTGATTTCTTGTTAACAAGAATGAGACAGACGAGGTCACGTGATCTCTGACCGCTAGAGTCTAATCAGTTATTAATAGTAGCATAATAACAGCAATTAGTTTATATGACCCTCCTGGAAGGCAGGACACTGATGCTAAAAGACAAAGGCTAAATAAACAGAGTCAGCATAAAGGTCTGAGGACAAAGGTAGTGTTCAGTTCTGGGGGGGGGGGGACAGGAGGACTGACTGAAAACTGGAGTTTCTGGAGAAGGCAAAAAAAAAATACTGCTCTCCACTTTCTGCTTCATACATAACCTGTATTAGTACTAGTCATACATTGTAATCATCCCCATTGTGACTGTGATGCTGCTTATAAAGAAGCGGCAATTCTATATGAACTGTCCTGTATTCTTTGCAAACTTGAGGGCCTGCAAATCCCTTTGAGAGGATATATTGTGATTTGACGCTTTAGCTAGCTACATGAACGTGGATTTGCCACAGCCAAGAGCCTTTGGCTATGGTAAGCAGATGGCTAAACTGTTAGCAACATTTTCTCTCCATCTCTGAAACACTTCTGGTGTTTTATTGCACATATTGTCAGACTGTCTTTTAGACTCTCTTTTTGACGAGTCCGTTTTTCTTTTTTGGGTGCTTTGCAGTGTAGACAGTTGTCGCCAATGCTAGGGCAACTCCCCCTGAAGGATTTTCTACCATTGAATCAGGCTTTCACCATCCAAAATCTCCTGTCAGGGCATAGATTTTCTAATGCTTGAAAACACAGCCAAGAGTAGGTGCAGAGTTTTTCCTCAAACCACCACCATATGCTCAAAGGTTATGGAATTTTTGCCCAGTGACACCAAAATAAAACAGCCTGTGCCAGCTTTAACTTAGAGAAAATATGTAACCAAAAAAAAGTCAATAATAAGTCAGGTAGTTATGCTGTGGTGAACTGTTTTCATTGTCACAAACAATATATTTGCAGTGTATTTATTGAACACATGTCATCAAGAAAGGCAATTTAAAGTACTTCACATACACTTTAAAAGCAGCATAAGTACAGGGGTTAGTCAGTACAAATGCATCACCAAAGGGGACTAGTAATAACATGCAGGGTTTTATTAAGTTTGCTAACCACACCCAACCCCAATTGTTCTGGTTTCTATGTCATAATCTGGTTAGTGCGATGTGCCTCATGTTGGGTGTTACTCCCAAACAGATTTTTGTGCCGATTTTGTACAGTGTAGTAAAAATGTACCAGTGGTGCATGAAGTACCAGAGAGCCACACCTTGGTAGAAGTTAAAGTCACCAGTTAGAATATTACTTGAGTAAAAGTTTCAAAGATATTTATTATTTATTCATGGATCCCCATTACAAGCACACGAATATGTCTGGAGTCTACCTGGGGTCCTATTTGCTGTGCTTAAGTGTAAAAAGTAAGATGGCAGAGCATGGCAAGTAAGATGACGGTGTGCATGAGTTCAGTGGCTCTTTGCCCCCCCCCCCCCCCCCCCCCCCCCACTCACATCATCAAGGATTCCACACATCCTGGTCATCATCTGTTTGAACTGTTGCCCTCTGACATGTGCTATACATCTGTCAAAACACACACTTCCGGATTCAGAGACAATTTCTTCCCAAAGGCCATGAGCACAATCAACCCAAATAAGCACTGAGAGACTCATATGTGCAATATTGTATTAATAGCATATATTTCTTCCACTTAACCATGTGCAGTGTGGTTTTGTAATGTTATTTCTTTCTTTCATTACACTCACCTTTTTTTAAACATTCTATACATTTATATTATTTATCTTATGCACCAAATTGGAGCAGCATACCTATTTTTTAGGCAGTACTGTTCTTTTCTAAAGCTTATTTTACGATGTTAAATGTGCCTATGTATTTAAATTAAAAGTACAAGTAAATGCTGGTAATAAAAAAAGAAAAAGCGGTCAGAATTCTGAGGGTTACAAAGTTTATTTCTTCTTAACGTACACCTTAAAAATGGAGCAGTCACTGTGCAGTTACCGCTCACAAGTCTCTATCTCCTGGAATCCTTACTCGCTCTGCTGTGGGACTCAAGTCTCCAATCTTAGAATGATAGATGAGAATTGGTGCATCCAGGCTTAGCAGAAGCATACTAACAAAACACATTCACACGGATACTGGAGGCTACAATGGTTTCTTCTTTACATGTACACCACCTACAAAATGGAGGTTACATTACACTTGAGATGAAATTAGGTATTCACAACTTAAAGGATTTAGAGAACAAATTCCAGTTTTTCCTTCTTCCCATTCCTTCATTTATTCATCCATCAATCCCTCCTTCCGTCCTCCCTTCCTTCCCTGTTTTGTAGTAAGTCACTATGATGCTTAGGGGAGATGTACTGGAGTAAAAGTGAAAGTTGTCAGAAGTATAAAAACTCAAGCAAAGTACAAATACTCCCCAAAAAAAACTAAGTAGTAGAGTAGAATATATCTTTATTGTCCACCAGGGTGGAAATTTGTCTTCAGCTCACCAGACACAAGAGACAACTTAATAAAAAGCAAACAAGCTTCAAGACGCATAAAACAAACATACAAGGTCATTAGAAAACACTTAACATATATAAGAACATATATGAGTTAAGAATACTGATGGCACTTCAGATGAGGGACTTCTTAAATACAGTTGTAGTTGCCAGGGGTACTCTATAGCGCCTCCTGGAGCTCAAGAGCTCAAACTGGCTGAAGAGAGCATGAGAGCTATCTGCCTAGATACTCCTCACTTTTGTCCTTGTCCTTTCTGTAAAGAGTTGTGTCAAGGGCTTTTGTGGCTTGCCAACTATTTCACCTACCGTTGTCACAATCCCAGAGTTTATTCTTAGATGTACAGTTAAAACAACCGTACCAGGCAGGAAGGTGAAAAGTTAAAACACTCTCAACCATGGTTTTGTACACTAATATTAAAATCTGCTTACTAACACTGAGGCCACTAAGATTCCTTAGATGATAGAGTCGCTGTGAGCATCTCTTGTAAATATATAGCCAGTATCTCCAGAGAAGCCCGTCTGGGCATTTTTACTTCGTTACATCACACCACTTAAATCTACCTTAACATCTATGTACTTGACCTCTCATCTTCTTTGTTGTCTTACTTCAGTACCTACATAGCATTCATAGTGATCATGTTCAATCTCTGTCACCCACAGTTAATGTCATTTACCCTTTGTCAGGTATTACCCCACACATTTATTTTACAACCACTGTTGTACTCTATACATCTATATAACCAGTACATTCACTGAATTTATTATTCCAGTGGTGAGTATTATATGAAAATTGATCCAGCACAAGTTTAGTAACATAATAATTCAGCTGTCACATTGGTCAGGGAGTAGTTTGATAGGACTATGTAAATTCTATTAAAAGAAAACTGAATCGTTGGTGAAAGGCAGAAATGGTGCAGCATGTTCTGATGAGCTAATATTCAGTATTCAGGGGGAAGTCTTTGTGTGTCGAGGCCCTGTAGAGAAAAGAAGAGGGACACACATTACTTGAGGTTTGATGCTAAGGATAACAAGCCCAGTACCTAGTCTGTGGCCTACAAGAATTCATTTAGGGACTGTTCTTTACTTATTGGAGTACAGGGTGGCTGTGGTGGGACTTTGTTTTTGTTTTTTTTTTGTCTTTTTTTTTTTTTTCCAACCCTCCACAAGGCTATAAACATTTTTCCTTGGGCCTTCCTGTGTGACTAGTGGAAAATGCATGACTGTCCCTCCACCATAAATTAGTTGCTGTATTTTTAAAACTTACGCCTTCATGTTTAAGGTTAAATGTTAAAAGTTGAAGTTAGTTAGTGCAGACTATTTATGGCCAGATTTTAAATGAGATGTAGGGTAAGTGTTTTGCTGAAATATTACTATTATAGAGTCAGATTTTTTTTTTTTTTTTTTTTTTTTTTTTGTTTTCCTGACAGAAGTGTTTGTTGCATGTGATGTGTCCAAGGATTGTCTGACATTAAAAAAAAACAACAACAACAACAATAATTTCTGCTTTTACAGTTTCTGGCTATGAAAAATGGTGTAATTTTGCCAAAAACATGGCCTGCGGGTTTGGAGGGCATGTTTTCTTGAAAAATCGATGGTAAAAAAAAACCAAAATACAACCATCTAAATTTGTATGCTAAGCCAAAACAAAAAAACATAAGTCCCTCCCGAGTGCTTAAAAAAAAAAGACACTCCTCCCATTTTTGCACCACTCCCTCCCCCCTCATAAGTAATGAACAGTCCCTTAGATATGCTTATGCTTGTTATTGTCGTATCACTGTGTTTGTCTCCCTGTCTACTCACCACTGTAGTAAGAATGCTCTCCTCTCTGTGAAGCCCGTCAGCATGGTCTTCATGTCGTCTTCACTTAACTCAAAGTCAAACAACTGTAGGAAAAAGAAAAAAATAATTAATGTTGCAACAGAAGTATGAGGCACACAAGCTGAATATTTTTCAAAATTTAAGTTTCTCTAACAAAACAGATATAAGCATGTGACTGGACCTCAACTTATTTTTCCTAAATCAATATCTGAAACTGGTCCTGTATAAATACACTAGATAAGTAGGACAGCTTAATAAATGATAATAGTATACCTGGAAATTTTCCTTGATCCGATGGGGCGTTGCTGACTTGGCTATGACGATCACGTTCCTCTGGATGTGGAATCTGATGAGAACCTGTTGGGAAAACAGCATTCTTCAGGCATCTCCCTGAACATCTTTGTATGACCACATTTTTGGTGGATCACCACAAGTTACTGTGGGGTTTATTTTCCCATAGTTAGAGTTGTGTAACAAACCTTTCCATCCACCACATGACAGCTTGCTGACTTCCGTTAGTTAACTTTTGCAATGAAGCATTACACAATTTTAAACAAAGCAGTGTCCATTCTGAGGAGTTTACGGTGATACTGGTGTGCACCCACTGACTGAAACACATACAAATACCACTACAATGCAATATCTGTCCACTATATGTATATGCTCATTGTACATGCTTTGCTTTCATAGAGGATAAAATACATGTTAAAGTTCATTATGAATGTTTTCTTACCAAACTTAGCTTTGCATTCAACAATTAATAATAATAATATGATAATAATAATAACTTTATTTATATAGCACACATATAGATGCTACAAAGTGCTTCATAAGACAATACAAGCAGTTAAATTAAGCAAGAGTACAAGCAATGATGTATCTGCAAATAATAAAGGGGTAAAACAAAGTGATTAAAAACAAATGAATGTGTATAAATATGTACATGCATCCACACAAAAAGGCACGTAGTTAAATATACCCATATACACACATGCTCTGTGCAGAAGCTTTAGCAGACATATGCAAAAAACACATGTATTCATATAAAGACACTTAACATCTTTGACCTTATAGAAATGCCACCCAAAAAAATGTGTTTTTAGATGTGTTTTAAAAGTGGATTCAGATGTAGATGATTGTATCTTTTAGGACTTCAGTTGCATGGTGTGGACTTATTATTAAAATCTTTTGTCATGGTTAAGCTGCAGCTGGTTTTGATGCATCCACTCTCTGATAATATTTTGGCAGTTTTGGAGGTGAGTGAGGCTATTGCAGTCATTAGGAATGATGGGTATGTACAGCTGGGTTTCATCGGTATACCAGAGATAAGACACGTTATGTTTTTGCAGTGTGTGACCCAATGGAAGCATGTAGAGTGAAAAGAGAACTGGACCCAAAATAGAACCTTGTGGCACTCCACAAGTAATGTTAGACAAAAAGGATTTTAACCAGTTAAGAGCAGGACCTGATATACTGACCCAATCCCTCATAATACAAAATGTTTTATGGCTTTATTTCTCCAAGAAAAGGGGAAAGATGAACTTTTTACTTTTTTACCTGTGCTGCAGTCTTGTTGTACTTGTTAGCAATAGCCTTGATCTTAGGTTCCTCCAGCAGCGAGGGATCATCAGATGTCACCCTTTTGTAAATAGGAACAGAAAAGAATGAGTGACACATATCTTAATGACATTTTGTTTTGTGTGAGAGCTGTGTATATTAGATGACATTGCCTCTTACCAGGGTCTGTCAGGGGAGCCCAGGGGGCTGTAAGCTGTCACTGAGATGCCCTTTGAGTGGCAGTAGTTGATCAGCTTCTCCTGGGTCAGGTACGGGTGGCACTCAATCTGGAGAAAGTTTTAGCTTTTATTTTCTTCTTGCTACACTGTGAGCAGAATTAAAGTCTTGTTTCCAGGGTTCCTACAGGCTTAGGCAAGTTAGATTTAAATCTTTTTAAGGCCCAGTCTATACGTCAACAGATATTTTTGTAAGCGGATACTTTCCTCTATGTTTTGGCTTTGTGTCCACATGCAAAAAAGTTAGGTCACTAAAACAGAGATTTTTAAAAAATGTCCTCTAGGGTAAGACTTAAAACTCGAGTTACTATGTATCTGTGCGGACATGTAAAACCCAAGATTTGGTAAATGATGACATTATCATGCCCAGAATTTGAGTCTTTTCTGGTGCTCTTGGTTTTAGTAAAATAAACGTAAAAGTCTCTATGTGTCAATTCAAATAGCAGCTGGTCCCTACAGTTATCAGGTGAAATGTGTTATCTCTTAGGTAAACAGGTGTTTTAGTGTACCTGGTGGTTGGCAGGCTTGTACTTGAGGCCTGGCTTGTTGAGTAGGGCTTCAGTCTGGTCTTTGTTGAAGCCCTACTCAACAAAGACCAGACTGAAGCCCTACTCAACAAGCCAGGCCTCAAGTACAAGCCTGGCTTGTTGAGTAGGGCTTCAGTCTGGTCTTTGTTGAGTAGGGCTTCAGTCTGGTCTTTGTTGAAGTTGGAGATGCCGATAGCCTTGACCAAACCAGCATCCACCAGGTTTTCCATAGCCTTTTGAGACAAATTGCACATTGTTGTCACTGATGCACCTCATTTTGCAAAATATTTCTTTGTCCATATAGCAGTCAGTTGGACTATCAGTGTGTTAGTCCTTGCTTAATATATGTAACTGCACTGAGTCTCTTAAATTACCTCCCAGGTGTCCAAAAAGTTGCTGCCATCAGAAATTAGCTGGTTATTCTCATCACATGGAAACATCTCATCCCCTGGCTGCATCGGTTAAAAAAAATGAAACATGAAGTTGGATGAAATGTTTTTCATTTTAATTTCTGATAATAAAATGTATTAGCTCATCAAGAAACCCTATTAAGCAAGGAAAAAAATTGAAAAGCAAAACTTTAATGGTTGCATAGTTCTCTGGGTTGCTTAGACTAACACATTGGAGAAAAAGGCTAAAGGTTGAGCTTGACCAGAACACTTGATGATAGTGGTTTTACCAACAGACAGGCTGTTGTTTTCTATGGCCAGTACACAACAGTGTAATCCAAACCTTGGCTCCCATAGGGAAATGCATGAGGTAAAGGTCCACGTAATCCAATTTCAGGTCACTAAGCGTCTTCTTACAGGCTCCTCTCACCAGAGATGGAAGATGGAAGGGATTTCAGTGATTTCAGCATGTGGGTCACATTGAAGAGTAGTGAAGAAAATGTCAATGTTACAAGGGAGAAGACCCTGGCTATCAAGGATTTCTACATGCTTTTATGTCTTTGCACAAGTTAGACCTTAGGCTGTATTCACAAACCTTCCAAAAAGACCTCCTAACTTAGCCTAAAAATTTCTACCTAGAAGTCCTAGCTTAGAAGTGATTTAGGAAAATTCTCAGAGCAACTCTAAGCAACTAGGGGACAGACACTCTGATCTCAGTGAGGAATTGTGGTTGACCTCATTACTAGGGGTGACAGATTCTTCTAACAGATGTGATTAGTTGACCTTTTGTTGGCACTGGGAAAGTGCTGTAACTGGTGGTGTGATCATTCTGCTAATGGAGGGTGGAGACAGACCAAAGTTATCACTGCTGCACTGTTGCATTTTTCCAGTTGCCAAATATCTTAGTGTTGTCATCACCTTATTTCTGGGGTTATATCGTTATTGCATTGAATGGTAGATGTGAGCGCATCTCTAATGACATCGACCACAAACATCCCTGCAAGATCTAATTTGCAGCATTTCATTTACTCACTGTCATCCAGCATTTGGAGGATGTTTTTCCTACATTCTTGTCTTTCCTCACTCTTTAGCCTCTTAAAAGTTCTCCCTGCTCCGAACAGTATTTCACCTTAGAAGTTCTTTTAAGGGCTAAGACACTTTGTGAATAACCTTTGTCTTTAACAGGATCTGGTCTTAACTTTAAGTGGAAACTCTTGGAAAATGTCAGAAGTTAAAAATTTTCTCAGAATTTTGTCACTAGGAGCAAGAAAATGTTCAGCCTTACCCTCCACGTTCCTAGACCCACAATAGGCATCTTTGCCCCATTGTTGAGTGTAACTGAAGGTATCATGTTGGATCCTCTGTTGCTGTTTCTGCAGGATAAATCAACAGGCAGACGTTCATGCAAGCAGACTCCTACAACACTGCTCTCAGAGAGGAAGCAGTCCCTTATGTCCAAGTCAGTGAGAGAGGGGTGGGGTTTAAAGATAATAGATAAAGGCCATCTGGGTTTGATTAGTGTCTTGTTCTCATGGATCCAGTCTATGAAAATAATCTATTGACAGACAGGCTACAGAGGGGAGAGATGACTCAGCACAATTGATAGGAATAAATGCAAGATTGGTACAATGTAACAAGAAATAAGTGCTTTTATTCATCTTAAGCAGTATTCTCAATTCTTAATTTCTTCATTTAAAAAAGATGAGTAGTTTGGGCCTGATTTCCTTTTTTTGTCTTTTTGTGTGAGTGAATTATGTAGCTAAAACAGGCAGAATAAATTGTCATACTATATCAAGGTTTTTTTTTATTAGCATTTTATGTCACCATTTTTTGTAACGTGAGTCTGTGTAATTACAAAGAGAAGAAATAACACATTCTTGACCTTACAAATGAAAAGTTGAATTAATGCGCACTAAAACACACCCTTGCTCAAACCTGTACACTCAGGGGGGGTTTTGCTGCTACAGCAGTGGAGTAAGGTAGTGACGATGGGCCCCAGTGCACGCTCTTATGACGGGCCCTGGTGCACACTATCATGCACATATTGTCTCCTCCAACCTCATCATATATTGACGTTTGGTTTCCACGTCCACATATGATGTGCAAGGTACCCTGCTTGCGATGGTTGTTGATGTTCTAGGACGGCGTGTCAAGTTCTGCCTGTTACATGCATTGTCTTCCTTCGAGATACTCTTCTGTTTTTACTGGAAATGTAACGTTTACATACAGTACAATGCAACAAATAGACTTTTTTTTTTGCTTCAACAAACACATGGTTGGGTTTAGGAAAAAAAGAACAGGGTTTGGCTTTAGAATTTATGGGATGCAAACATAGCTCTCTCCGGTGAAAACTGGTTTGTTGGGTTAGGGTTAGGGGTTAGGGTTAGGGTTGGTTGGTTGTCCCACCACGTTGCCCCGTGATACCACTGGGCGCCATTAAAGTATAACAGCAACCGGCTGCGTATCATGCCGACGTTTAAGGACACCCTTTTTGTTAATTCCTGATGCTGCAAGTCACTGCCCAAGCACCAGATTTCTATGACTTCGGAGTGAGACCGGGCTCTCTCATCACAGGATTTGAGACTTGACATTGGATAACATCAACATACATATTACCCAGCAATCATTATTGCATATCTGTAAATAACAAACAGTACCAAAGAAAATAAGAAATTAAGTTGTTATTAATTTAATGTAACAATTTTTACATTCGATTTATGATTATAGAATAGTTGATTTCTAGAATGGTTGATTTAATAGTCATAGAATAAGCATATAATTTTGTTAAAGATGCTATTGGCAATCACTCATAAGGACCCATTCTCCACCCTCCACACATTGCTTTAGGGCCCACTCTCTCTATGTGGACTCTTAATTCCCCAGAATTGCTTATTCTTATTTTTTTTCCTGAATGAATCACATTTTTAAGGGGCTAAAGGTAAAGGTGCTTGAAAACTCAACAAACTTTGGCACACACATGTTAACTAGTGAAAATTTACATCTGATATCGGCCTGGTTAATGGCAGATATTACAAGTTGCATGAGTGGTCAAGCCTAAACAGACCTACATGTCAGTATTTCATTATTCGTATAGCGCCACCTACTTACGACAAGAAATCACACACCCCTTTTTAATAAGCATCCAACCTAAAGGCATTCTGTCTCTAATCCCTGAACATTTCATGTCCAGCAGTGGGCATTGTTGCTCTGTTAATAGGTGTGAAGGGCCGCATTGTGTGATCTGCGTGTTGGATAAAGTCTTTGCATTTCCATATCACAGCTGGATACATTTCACAAAGCATATGAAAACAACATGCCTGTTCAGGAAGGCTGAGACAAAAACTAAAGCTGATCATTAAAGAAATTATGCATTGCTTAGAAAATGATGTACAATGGAGCATGGTGACAGGAAGTTGTCATTGACATATAAATAAAGTTGACATTATTAATCGAATAGTAATCTGTAGACATACACAAAATAATGAGGGGTGTAAATCACAAGTTTCATTTAAATATATAGATTTTTTTGGACAGCATTTTGCTGGTTTTCATCAGTAATTTCTATGTATTCTAAGTTAATATATTGTTATCCTATTCATACCACAGTAATACGTGATGCTGACTGAAGAAGGCACAAAAAGAGTGGCATTTAAATTTTATATTGCGGGTGCAACTTATTATTTTATTATCTATTCATGTTGTGATTAATTGTTTACTGTTTTTGGTTCATAAAAAGGCAAAAAAAATCCCACCACATTTTCCTAGAGTGCATGGCAAAATCTTCACGTCTTCTTGTGTCCAATCAACAGTCCAAAACTCAAAGATACTCAGTTTGCAGAGAAAATACTGACATTGGATTAGTTCATTTCTTCTTGAAAAATTACAAAAACAGAGAAAAACTAGTCCATACCCATTGAGCGCACAGTTGCCCACGTACAGTTTCACATGGTGTGTGTTTGGGATACAGGTCATAGGAAATTGCAGATTAAATAGTCAACTGAACCCATTAAGAAGAGCAATGTATTCAGACAGAGTTTTTGTGAATTTGATAGTACGATTGCTTTATTGAAAGTACAGTAGTACCATTGCCAATAGTGGGATAGTTAGTGGGCTAAAACTGTACATTAGTAGTTGAGGTAGCACGTTGAAAGGCAGATAGTTAAAGTGTTTATATGTTGTATTGACTTAAAAGTGGGGCGCACTGGTAGTTCACATGGGAAAGGTGCGGCTAGCCTTTGTTGCAGCAGCAATCCGTCGCATTTTAGCCATTTTTAAGCATTTTTCTGTTGTTATAGCGCCACCCAGTTGCCAAATAGAGTTAAATTTCTCCAGTCACCTTGAGGCGTCCTGTTCTACATATCTACCAGGTTTAGTAAAAATCGATATGGCGGTGAGGCCTAGATAAGAAATTAGCTCTCTAGCGCCCCCTTTTTGTTTGATGGGGTCAATAATGGAGGGGTCCCCTCAGATTATGTGTGGTCATATGCCTACAAAGGTGTGTGGTGATCGGTGAAACCCTTGAGATATTATACACCTTTATGTGATGAGCCACGCCCTCTGCAATATTCATTGCCTTATAGAAGCTCAGTTTTAGTAAGTTTTCCAACTTTTGCCAAGAGGGAACTTTAGATATTGGTCCCTAGATTATGTTCACCGAGTTTCATGCAGATCGGTCAAACTTCCTAGGAAGAGATTGATTTTAAAATTTCAAAATGGTGGAAAATCTATATAACTGGAAGTTATGGGTTCTTGAGGCAAGTTTGTTCCTCGTGAGGAGAGGCATCTCTGTGCAAAGTTTCATGTCTCCACGACATAGGGTACATGAGATATACCCATTCAAAGTTTGCAATTTCAATCGGTTTCTATAGCGACCCCCAATGGCCAATTGATGTAATATTGCTTCATTCGCATCCTCCCATGACCCTCTACCACTGTGCCAAATTTCACATGGATTGACCAAGTCAGTGAGGAGAAAAACGTGGAACAGACACACCCACACACAGATGATGATTAATCGTTTTAGCTCTGATAAAGGCCTATTATCTTAATAATCATTATCATTGCTGAGAGCTATGCCTAGAAATATGGAAGTAAAGAAAAAAATAAATGTAGAGTTGTAGGGAATAGAAATGGTATGAAGACATTTACTAACTTTGCTGTAACACTGTTTATTATTTGTTTGTTGAATTGTGCATATGATTATCTATTAATTATGTAAAAGTCATGCATTTGTTCGTTTCAAATCTTATTTATTTAGGCAGTTGTTAAATTATGAATGTATTTCAGAGTTTTTATTCATTGAGGATTAGGTCGTTTTTCCCTTTCCCTCAAGCCTGGGCCTATTCATTCAACTTTAAAATTTTAATTAAGAACCTGATTTAAAGTCTTGGCTACAGAAGCGTATTGCATTCACCTGACAAATAAAAAAAGCCCTGTTTTTCTGAGTAATTTTTTTCTGTTTTTCGGAGTAATTTATTTATTTTTCTGTTTTTTGGTGTAATTTTTTCCCTGTTTTTCTGAGTAATTTTTTTCTGTTTTTCAGAGTATTTTTTTGTTTTGTTTTTTGTGGTAATTTTTTTTTCCTGAACGAGGAGACAAGATACTTAAAAATCTCGCGAGAAGCTCCTACCTGGCACCTGCAAGTGACCCCTGCATCCACACAGGGTATGATAATCTAGCTATGTTTTCCACTGCATCCTTCTAGTGTAGGCCTATCGCTCAATGAACAGGTTAGGTTAGTAACAGGTTGTAACAACGTTAGCTGAGAAACGTGTATGGGCATGATTTCAGTTGTCAGGTAACATTAAGCTAACAGTTTTTTTCCATCATGGGTAAGGCACGTAATTAGTTACCCTGTGTGTAACTAATTACGTGCCTTACCCTTATTGATCCCGTAGCTGAAATTGTCTAGGAGCAGGAGCACGGATGCAAAATACATCCATGAGCAGGAGTCACCATGGATGCAGGGGTCACTTGCAGGTGCCAGGTGGGAGCTTCTCGCGAGATTTTTAAGTATCTCATCTCCTCCTTCAGGAAAAAAAAATTACCACAAAAAAAAAAAACAGAAAAAAAATTACCAGGAAAAACAGGGAAAAATCTCTCAGAAAAACAGAAAAAATACACCAAAAAACAGAAAAATAAATAAATTACTCTGAAAAACAGAAAAAATTACTCAGAAAAACATGGCTTTTTTTTATTTGTCAAGTGAATGCAATAGCTTCCGTACTTGGCTACTCAAAAAATGTTAAGAGATATTTCGACACACTTGACCACAGTCAAGAAATAAAATGAGGAGATATAAAAACAGTAATATTACCATAAACTGTCGTTGCAATACATGTTAATAGAGAGACTACAATAATTTTTTCTCAATCAGGTTTAAAATGACGACACATAACTGCTCAGATTACATCACAGAAAACTCCAGCTGATTGGTCAGTGTGTCCGGCGGGCCTCTCAGGGGGCGTGTGGGGATTTAGCTGGGAGGCGGGGCTTGTCAAACCAAACAGCTGGTGGTAATTGAGCGTGTGAAATGGCGAATATCAGACGCTGGAGGCTAGTTTATCTCTTTCTTGAGAAACAGCTAGCTAAACTTTGGACCCGGGCTACTTGGAAATAATGTTTGACTTGAAGAAGAGGAACAGTTTGGCTGCGAACTGCAGCCAAGACATGGAGGAGCTCAGCCGAGTGGCGGTTTGTCAGGTCAAAGATGTCAAAGATACTGCGGTGGACTGTGACGCATCACACAAAGGTGACGTTGGCTATCAATTAAGACATTAGTTTTAATCAAAATAATGATACAAAACAATAAAAATAATCGAGTAGTAGGCCTATTTTTGGCTCTACCTGTAATGTAGGCTGCATAATGAACGTAAAACAGCAGTTGTTAGTGTATAAAACGTGACCTGTCCAGTTGAGCTACTAGTCCCTTTTGCTGTTGCTCTCACCATAGACAGGCTAGTGAGTTTTAGTGGAGTTTATGGCAATAAAAGAATGGATATGAGTTGTTATCATTTGGAAACACTATACAAATGCAATGTGAATGTTTTGCAATATGTCAGATATTCTTCAGTGTTCAAACCAACCAGAAAAAAAAACACATTAGCAAGGCTCAAAGTGTCCTGTAAGACAGTGACCCAGGCAGCCAGTAAGGGCATTAGCATCCCTCCTGTACCTGGTTTACACAGATAAATGCTATTTAAGTTCCCTTGTCAGCTTGTGAGTGTAATGCCACTTGGTGTGTGCATGATTTTGAATTTTGGTAGGCACAGTTGGCCTGTTGGGTTACTGCAGTGAAATCTCTTTACCCTGATGCAGCCTGGACTTTGCCTGCATGTCTTGAGACCGGCCTTTGTCAGTCCCTCTCTCACAGACATACACATAAAGCCATTAAGCATTTTCTGACCTATAATGCAAATGATTCCTGGTGTAAGGCTTAACAAGAACCCTTACAAGATATCCAAAATATGGCCATTCATTTATTTTTAAGATGACAGTAACTTATTCCTTTTTATTTTTTTTGCAAAAGGGATGCTAAAACTTGCCGAAGATATTTTAAAAACCTCACTCTGCCTTTTAAAATCACAACTGAGAGGTTAGAGACTGACACAAAGTAGTGTCTTTTGAGCTCAAAGAAAACTGAAAACATTTAAAGAAATATTTTGACATTTGAGGATAGTTCAGCTGGTTAACTTAGCTTGGCATAGGTCAAAAGAAGGTAGAAGGTAATAAAAAGACTGTAACAAATCAGCCTACTAGCACTTCTTAAGCTCACTAATTAACATGTTTTATATTGTTTGTTTAAAGCTGGGGTAGGCAGAAATCTGGAAAGTGGAAAAAACAAGTCCTTTTCACCAGACAACCACAGGCATATGTGCTGCTTCATACAGTAACCCAGGGTTTCCTATACATTGATTTTATTTGTTCTGTGCTGCTATTGTTCTGCATTGAATATAATATGAAATATCCATAAAATATGTCACTTAGTCAGGAGTCGTCAATTAACTCCATGATAGAAAAGGGGTCCCTTAAGAAAAAAGGTTGGGAACCATTAACTCAGAGACCCGTCTAACAACGACAAGCTTCTGTGGGAGTGTTAGTGCTCTATTTAGTGCTGAATGTTGTCTCCGAGTCTCTAAAGTAATTTGTAAAACTGGTGGTGGTAAGACTCTAGGGGGGACGGGGGGGGGACGGGGGGGGGACAGAGCTTTTGCAACCAGGGCCCCAAGGCTCTGGAATGACCTGCCTGAAGATAGAAGGCTGTCTGAGTCACTGTCTGTGTTTAAGTCTCCCCTAAAAATGTACTTATGTTAGAATGCACATCCTGATTTTTAACTGAGTTGTCTATTTTATTGCCATGCAACTGCAACTTCTGAATCCAAGTTTCTCTCTTTGACCGAACTAAGACTTGATTGTCTCACCATCACCAAAAGATCCTTGGTTAGTCTTCATAGTTGTTTAGTTAGTTATAAAGTTCCAACAATCACCAACTCTTGCTTAACACCACTCACAGTCACCATTCATTTCAGCTCAGCTGCCTTTTCCACCAGTAGCCACCGATGTCTGGTGGCGAGTGACGTTCACTAAATACAATACATCTGTAATACAGCACCTTGATATGAATTTAACAGAAAGATGAGCATCTGTGTTTTTGATGGTATTGAAAATCATACAGTTGGGATTTGTAAATACCCTGGTCACAAGATTATTTTAAACAACTGAGACATTTATATCTATGTACTGAGGGGGTCCTCCAAGGAGTCTGCCATGTTGTAGCCCAAAACAGAACTGGCTCTAGATAGGGCCTTTTGTGTTGGCCACCATAGTTCTCCTATACGCTTGGGACATGGCATGGAGTTTCACTTGGTCGTAATCTGGAACCCTTACCGCAAGATGCCACTAAATCCTACACACTGGACCCTTTTAAAGGAAGGACTCCGAAGGTCAGTACTTCACCGATGAAGACCACCCATATACCTTTCAGGTCACTGGAGAGGAGCGGACACTTGAGCTGCAGGCCAGGTGTGTGTGCGTAGTAAAAGCAAGGTGTAACATACCAGCTGAGCTGCTTTTGGTGCTTTTTTTATTTGTTCATTTACAGGAAAGTCATCTGCCTGTAAATTTGTTTTTGAACAACAAATTTATTATTAGACAACACATTATTTGTTAGTTTATTTGTAAGGATCCACATTAGCTGCGCGCTACAGCTAATCTTCCTAGGGCCCACCTTTAAAAACATATTAAACATGACTGTCTACACAAACTGCAAACAAAAGACATATATTTGAGGATAACATTAATGTGATATTTACATTATATTGAAACTGTCTGAGTTGGGAAGTGGTGTTTGATTTCAGTCTAAATTACTTCTTTTTTGTTTTTAAACTCTGAACAAGACAGAAATGAGTGGATAAAGGTACTGGGATATCTTATTTAGTGTTTGGTGCAACAGTAAATATTACATGGATTATAGAAATGATCTATACTATCAACTGAGTTTTCAAAACCCATTTTGTTTGCAGGTTATTCAGGAAGCCACTGATGTGTTTCAGAAGAAAAACGAATCCTTCAGATTGTCTTCTAAGGAGCGCAATGTAGAAGAAACAGTTCGATAACATTTCAAAAGGTTATGTGTATGTAAATGTATTCAGAAAACTCTGTAAAACGTCCCAGCTGATGTGCAAGTGTTTAACAGACTGAGGAACACACAACACAGACAAAACATTTTTTGGGACAAGACCGCATTGATGGATTATCTGCTCTCCAGGTGGTGTGCTGGAAGTGTTCAGACCATAAAGTGGCTTTAGAGTATGAAGGTAACAAGCTGAACAAAGTGCGTAAAGCCTGCTGCTCCATCTTGACCAGTCAGAGAGGGGAGAGGGTGGAGGGTAAGAAGAGAAAGATACTGGAGGTGAGCCTTATGTTTTATTAAATGTTAAAGAACATCTGAATTTTAAAGAGCATAACATACAAGAGAGCAACATGGATTTAAGTCCTTAACAGCAATGTGTTTTATTGTATGTATACTCCCAGTCGGAGGTATCTCCAGTGACTAGTCAAGGCATAATGAGTGGCTTCCTGATGAATGGTGATAACCCCAAGACTTGGCAACAGTTGTGGTCTGTTATCACCTGGGCTAACCCTCTGGTCCTCCACCTATATACTACTCCACAGGTAGGGTTTGTATGATGATGATCATGTGGAAACCACAGAGTCATCAGGTCTGTTCCGACAACATGTCTTACCTCAAAGTTCTATTGAAGGAACAATGCCAAATTTTTGGCGATTTAATTAAATAGGCCTATGTGCAATGGCTGGCCTATATAATAATGAATTAGGATTGTTTTGAATTTGATTTTGCATCTTTTCTCTCTTCCCTGGAATGATTCAGTATTTGTTTTCATATTTGGCCTGGCTGATCATTTTTCTCCACAATATGTAGTAGGCCAGTGACATTCAACATGAAAAAATAAATTCCCAAAAGTGACACTAGATGTCACCCACACATCATTAGATATCATCTTTGTTGTACTGTAGTGTGACCATTCAGACAGTAGCAATGCTACAGTTTCAAAGCCCGGTTAGGCGATAGGTTTAATGCCGTAACCGAATATCAATCATGCTGCAACCTGTCGTCACCTTTTTCTAAAACGGGGGGTGTTTAACGACCTGTAGATGCTGAATGACCATCAAATACGCAATGCCAAACCACTCATGCGGATTTACTTCACAGTGTGAATTTGTCAAACGTTTGGTCATCGCCTGCAACTCGTATCACTGCGTACACGGGTTGTGTGGACAGACTTAAACTTTGTAGGCGTTGTTTGACAACATGGTAACAACGGAACACATTCAGCTGAGTGAAAACAGGTTGCAAATCATTACACAGAAATAATTATAATGTCTGTCAGTTTTTGGTTTCGCTGGGCGCGCTCCCTCCCACTTTCAGCACTTCTCTTTTCAACAGACGCGCGCTGCGCTTTTACGCACGACACTGTGGAGGAGAGCACAGTGCCATGAAGACCGTCAGTGTGTGAGCGTTTGGCTGCCACCACAGCAAGAAGATGATCCTGCTGCCTGGTCTGCTTTTTATTCTCTGGGGAGAACCGGGTCGGTGCCTGGAGGAGAATGTAGGCTTCACTTTCGATGGAGACATCCGCCACTTCGCCGTGGCCAACGACACGGTTTACATCGCCACAGAGGAGAGGCTGTACCAGCTGAGACACGACCTGACTCTGGTCCAGAGTCTGACCCAGAGAGGAATCTTGAAGGGAAGTTTTCAGACGGACGATGCTGAGTTTTCCCGGGTTTCTGAGACGGACAAATGGAACGCAACTTTCAGCGTCAACGTGTTATTACCGCTTGTTCAGGAGGACACTTTGATCAGCTGCGGTGTGATCGACTGCGGTTACTGCGAGATGCTGGACCTGAAGAACATTTCAAACGTACAGTACAAGGAGCACTTCAGGGTGGGATCCCCGTGGCGCAGCAGTGCGTCCGTCGGCTTCCTGGTGGACGTTGAGGAGACAGTTGCCGAGACTTACATTCTGAGTGCCATAGAGCAAAATGAAGGCAAACCCACAGAGACCGGCTGCTCAGTATTAGGAGCGGTGTTCCTTCATAATACGAATAACAAACAGGACGGAGGTATATTCTCTAACAATGACAAGAACAATGTCAATGTAATCAAACGCAGGCACACGGATGGCAATGTGGAGTTTGTGGATGGATTTCAGATCAATTCAATCATTTATCTTTTCTCCAACCTGCCTTTAAATCAAGAAAGCAACACCATCCGTCTCATTTGGCTCGAGGGCAAAACGAGCAAAAGGGAGACTCTCAAATCGCTGCGGGGTGCGACTCTCCGTGTCTCTGATGATGGTAAAGGCAGCAGACTCATCGCCTCCGCGGTGATCCCGGGTGGGCCGCCGGTGCTCTGGAGCGGCGTGTTCAGTGTGGACGGAGGAGAAACCAACACCGAGCTGCTGCTGTTTGACATCAGCCCGGATCTCACCGGAGCCAAAGATGCAGATCCAGACTTCTGTAGTACTACTGTCTGCACTGGCAGAGTAACGACGGTGGGTCGTTGTGTTATAGATTTGAGTGATAGCGCATGTTGTTGTTTCCACCTGTTACAGCAGTGTAATGTGTGATCATGAAGCATCTACAGAAAGACACATCACTTCATTATTCTGTGTCAATGTTTCAAAAGTAGAAACATATGAAATTGACTCATTTCACGCAAAATCTTCCCCTCTATATGGGAACAATGTAGGCTAATGAAATTCAGTAAGTCTATGTCTGTGGCTAATGACCATAAAAGCCTATTTATAATAATTGTAATATTTTTCATACTCTCATAACAGTTTACAAAGTGCTTTAAAAATGAAATGTGTGAGCAAAGTTCCAAGAAGCTAGAAAATAATGCAAGGAAACTTATTTTGAAATAAAACAACAATTGCAGACTTACTACCTTATTAAGCTGCCAGCTGTAAATCACTCACCCATCATTATACTCTGTATTCTAAAGTAGGCTGGCTGTCCTTGTCTGCTGGCAATCTTCCCCACTGGTACACCTTCATCTATAAAGCAATTATTGGACTACTCCCCTCATACCTCTGCACCTACCTCACTTTTACATCAAATCCATCATACAGTTTGTGCTCTCTGGACTTTCTATCTGCCTCTGTCCCCAGAACTCGTACTGAGTTTGGGAAGAGGGCATTCATGTACTCTGCTCCCTCTGCCTGGAACAGTCTTCAAAAATCACTGAAATTGCAAGAACTTATCACCATTAATGATTTTAAAACTCGGCTTACAGGCTTTATAATGGCAAATTTTGGCATGTGTAAATGTTCTACTGCATAGTATTTTATCATCATCACATAAGTGTTCTTTTAGTGTGTATTGTGGTGCACTGTTCTTTCACTGTTTTTGTTTAACATGAACTTTTCCTCCTCAGGATCCCCTGCTACAGCCTTCTCTGCCCCCATCCAGCCCTCTCCTCCTCCTCCTCCTCCTCCTCCCCCTTCCCCCACCAGACTGTATTTGTAGGGCATAACCCCTCCATGTGACTCTTGGCCTTTCTTTTTTCATGTCTGTGCTTTTTCTTTATGTGTGTCTTATTATGTTTTGTAAACTGCTGCCATTTTGGCCAGGCCTTGCTCGTTCATTTGATCTCAAGCAATCTGCCTGGTAAAATAAAGGTTAAATAAATAAAATTAATTAATTTCACTTCAACAATCTTTACCTTTTTCAAGCTCCCTAAATACTTACGTTCTTCTTCAGAAATCTAAAAATACCTGTTGGATGTTCATCTGACAATCAGTATTTTTTGTGTTTTTCAGCCAAAGACACTGAAGCCAAAGGCAGTTCTCTTCAGGCAGAACAACATGACCTCTGTGCTGGCTGTGACACAAAAGGCCTGGATGGTTTTCTTCATTGGGACGGGAGATGGGCAGCTCATTAAGGTGTGTACAAAAAGTTAAGTGAACTTTATTGTATTCATTATTGAAAAACATATCAATCTAACAAGACCAATCATTCAGTAACATACTTTGTTCTGATTAATAAATAGTAAACAGAGTAACTTGAAAGTGACGTAAAAAATATTTATTTTCTTACCAGTTAAGGCCCATTGCATTCGCCAAATAAAATAAAAAAATTCACCTCATCTGACACCTCATCTCACAATTACAAGAAAAGATCTTGTAACCACAAGAGATCAGGATCTCGCAATCGTTGCTGAACACAAGCTAAGATAGTTGCGGAAGTGTGTTGCATTCAGTGAATTAAAAAAATGTGACACCTTATCTCATAACTATGGGATTCTGCTCTACACAGGAGTAAGTTTAATAGCCTGTTTGATATTTACAATTTTTCCGAGACTATTATGTTCAATAGCTGCATATCAAGCTTCAATTTCTGCTAATTTTTTGATATGTTGGAAAATCAGAAATCAGGATGCAGTTGAGAGTATTCACAAACATTTTTGTATTTCAACATAGAATTCTTAAACCACTGTCATTACAGAGTGGCAACCTGTAAACATTTCACATCTGTGTTTGTAAAATAAATAATTGAAAAAAATAGCAAGTGATGGCTATAAATGACCTATTTACAATGATGAAAATAATTAACAGCAAAAGCAGCAAAAAATCCTCACATTTGTGAATGTGGAACCATGAAATGTTTTTGCATTAAAAATTGAGCAGGGGCTCAACTTGACTTGCTTGATTTTCACCACACTAACTTGAGACCTGAAGGTTAAGACTTGAGACTTGTTTGTGACTTCCACATGTGTGACTTACTCCCACCTCTGGTTTTAGATGCGAGGCAAAGCTGAAGTGGAAAGAAGGGTTAAACTGGCATTTTGAAATGTCAATATCATTCCTACACACAATGAGACCCAGCATATTTAATTCTATTAAAATTTTTAAAATTTTTTTTGAGTTTTCACCACTGAAATGATTCTGCCTGTGAGAACATCACACTACTTCTGCAAAGTAACCACTAACGCCTGCAACTTCTACGAATAGATTGTACATCTGACAAGATCTGTAATGATAAACAGCCACATTTCCTGCCACAATAAATTTATGTGGTGACTGTTTAAGTTCTGTCAAATTAGTCTCCTAAAGGTGAAAGGAAGCTGTTTTTTTTCAACCATGAGATGGAGGCTCCAATAAGCTCTTGAAGAGTATAATCTAAAAAAAATGCCCCCTGCACTCACAAAGTGGATAACAAAATTAAAATTGTAACAGAAGCATTTTAGCATCCTACATGTTCACCTTTTATTTAAAATATCTGTATCATATGACAAGAATACAGAAGCACATCATATTCACTGAATAATAAAGAAAAAACTTATCTGGTAGTTATGAGATCCTGATCTTGTAATTGTGAATAACGATCTTGTATTTATGAGTTGCTAAATACAAATATAACAGTGAACGATGGCACTATCACAGTGAATCTGCTTTTACTTCCTTCTCAGTATGATGCATTTCACAACTTTGAAATGTGCACAAGGATGTCAATCACTTGCTCACTGATGAATATATCGACGTGACCTTTGATGTCTTTCCCTTTCCCAACTTTACAGCTGGTGTGACCTGAGACTGTGAGATTGCCAAGAGCAAATCCCTTAGCATCATTATCAATGAACTGTTGCTTAAATATGCATGTTTTAAGGTTGTAATTTCAGTACTTGCTTAATTATGAATGTATGGACAACAAATCACATGTCATTTGCCTTTGAATATCCTACAGCTGGTAGTTTGTGGAAAAGCTCTCAGCAAATCTAGCAAAGTTGTTGCAGGATGTCACAGAGACATGACGTGATGTGACGACAATACATTCATAAATGAGCAAGCTATCGAAATCACATCCTTGAAATGTCAATATTTAAGGGTATAGGCTGATAATGATGCCAAAACATTTGCTCAGGGTTTTTCCACAAACTAAAAGCTGTGAAAGTTGTGACAGGATGTCACAGACACATGACATGTGATTTGATGTCAATACAGTATATTCACAAATGATCAAGCTATTATAATCACATCCTTGAAATGTCCATATTCAAAGGTATAGGTCACTGATAATGATGCTAAGAGATTTGGTTTTCCACAAACTACCAGCTGGGAGAGTTGTGAGGATTTTCAAAGACAGGTGACAACTGATTTGTTGTAGATTCATCAGTGAGCAAGTATTGAAATTACAACCTTGAAATGCACATATTTAAGCAACAGGTCATTGATAATGATGCTAAGGGATTTGCTCTGGGCAATCTCTGTCTCATCTCACACCAGCTGTGAAAGTTTTGAGGGAATGTCGAAGACACATCAGAAGTGGTTTTTATGTCAATATATTCGTGAATGAGTGAGCTATTGACATCATAACCTTGAAATGAACACAATTAAGGAAATAGATCATTCATAACCACCATTTGCTACATTTTTTTCCATTAATTTATTTTACAGACTCACAGATGTAAAAATTTTACTTATTTACTTAATTACATCTACAGTACTTTAACAGTCACCGTGTAAATTTATTGTGGCAGGAAATGTAACTGTTTACTAGTACTAATCTTGTTTGGTGTACAGTCTGTTTGTAGAAGTTGCAGGTATTAGTGGTTGGTTTGCAGAAGTAGTGTGATGTTCTCACAGACAGAATCATTTCAGTGGTGAAAAGTCAAAAAGAGATTTTAATAGAATTAAATAGGCCGGGTCTCATTGTGTGTAGGAATGGTACTGACATTTCAAAATGCCAGTTTAAGTGGGGGATTCCTGAAAGTCCCTTCTTTCCACTTCAGCTTTGTCTCGCACCTAAAACCAAAGGTGGGAGTAAGTCACACATGTGTAAGTCACAAACAAGTCTCAAGTCTTTTTTTTTTTTAATTATCTTTTTATTATGTTTAAAGTCAACATATACAGAGTGATTATACTTGTACACTTTTTTTAACAATTGAAACAGTACAAATTGGACAAACAGAAAGGAAAGTAAAAGAATTAAAAATAGAGGTAAAGTAAAATAAATAAAAGGGGGGCGTGTAGCATAGAAAAAAACAAACATGGGGGTTACATTACAAATGATGTTCCATTATAACCTGAAGTCCGATCTATGTGGGCTAATGAAATCAATCCATCCTTTCCAGCATTTTTCAAATTGATCCATCTTGAGTCTTGAATGTTCATTTTTCCATAACGTAAATTTCATGCATCACATTAAACCAGTCTACTAGTGTGGGTGCTCTTTGATTTAGCCATTTTTTTGTGATCGCTTTTTTAGTGGCGACCAGCATTATGTTGAACATATATAATTTTGAGAAACCTAAAAGTTGGTGTGTCTTTTTACCCAAATACATAACTTGAAAACAAAAATTAATGTCACATCTTAATACATTTTTCATACTGTCTCTAATTTCAATCCAATATTGATGAATCACAGTGCATTCCCAAAACACATGAAAGTGATTTGCTCTGTCTGTCCCACAGCCTCTCCAGCATGTTGTCTGCCTCCCCCCAGGGTGCTTGAATGCAGGTGTTAAAAAATATCTGACCCTGTTTTTCCAATTAAACTCTCTCCATGACAAAGAGTTAGTTGATTTCCATTGCATGTCATTTAAATTTTCCCAATCCTCTAGTGATAGTACAAAGTTTCCTTCATTTTCCCATATTTCTTTTATGTAAGATGTATTGGTCCCACCTAATTCCTAAAGGCCTTTATATAAATTGGAAACAGTCCCTGCACCTAGGTCTGCTCTGTATGAAGCAATAAAGATTCTTAACACCCCTGCTCCAGATGTAGATTTTCCCAGATCATCTTTGTTAATTATTCTTTTTGTATGGTGCCTTAACTGCAAATATCTAAAGAGGTCCTGGTTGATTATTCCATATTGATCCTTCAAGCTTTGAAAACTTTTAAGAGAGGTTTTTTCAAAGAGGTCCAAATAAATATTGATCCATCGCTGCTGCCACAACTTAAAGGTTGCATCCAGTCTGTTTGGAGTGAAGCCTGGGTCATAAGCCACCCACCTAATCAATGAATAAGGCTCCTTCTTCCCGTATAACTTCACCATTTTAAACCAGGTTTTAAGTGATACCTCTAGCCATGGGTTAGGCTTTGCCTCAAGATGGTGTTTTAATTCATTGTCCACAATGATGGCCTGTAATGGGATCTTGCCCGAGAAATGGCATTCAATGGTTTTCCATATAGCTGAATAGCTTGGGTCACAAATATGGATCAAGGGTTTAATCTGGGCAGCTTGATAATAAGTTTTTAGGCAGGGGAGAGCAAGGCCTCCTTTACACCTTGGAACCTGGAGTGTCTTGTATCTAACTCTAGGTTTCTTTCCCTGCCACAGAAATCTCAAAATCCACTTATCCCACTCAGCTTTCTTTTCAGGGATCTCCACTGAAAGTGACTGAAACAAATAAAGCAGCCTCGGGAGCACGTTCAATTTAATTATTTCTATTCATTGAATCAGCCCCAAGAAGGGCAACAGGTTCCACCTGTCCAAATCCTTTCTAATGTTGGAGAGCAGAGGGTCATAGTTTTCAGAGGTTAGACTTGTAAGGTCCTTTGGTATTTTCACACCCAGGTAATTCAATTTGTTCACTTCATTAATGGCATACTTATCTCTGAACTGTTGACTTGTCGTGTATTTGAATGTTAGCATCTGAGATTTATGCGAGTTTAATTTGTAGCCTGATATTGCTCCAAAATCTGAAAGTGTTTGCATTAGTGCAGGAAGAGAGGAGGCCGGGCGTGATAAGAACACCAGGACGTCATCCGCAAAAAGTGCTATCTTATGTTCACCAACCAATGAGATACCATGTATATTATCATTTTGTCTGATCATTTGACTTAAAGGTTCTATAAAAACGGCAAACAGGAGAGGACTAATAGGACATCCCTGTCGACAGCCACGCTCCAACTCAAAGGATGCTGAAAGGGAACCGTTTATTTTAATTCTTGCTGTTGGCTTGTTATAGAGACTCTGGATTGTCCGAATAAACGTTCTATGAAATTGAAATTTATGCAGAGCGTTGTATAAAAAAGACCAATTTACAGAGTTGAACGCCTTTTCGGCATCCAAGCCCAATATGATTGCTTCAGTTTGTTCCTGGTTTATCTGATGGATCACATGTAATGTACGTCTAATGTTATCTTGAGTTTGCCGCTGTTTAATAAAGCCTGTTTGATCCAGGTGTACAATTTCAGGCAGAATTCATTCCAGTCGTTTAGCTAATACTGATGCAAAAACTTTGTAATCCTGATTTAAAAGGCTCACAGGTCGATAATTTGAACAGTCCAGCCTATCTTTTCCCTGTTTGGGGATAACTGTAATTACTGCCTCTCCCCCATCCAGCCCTGGACTTTTGTTAGATTTAAGGTTGGAAATTGCCCTGTTCAGTTCCTCTGCCATTATTGGTGCACACAGAGATTCGTTTTGAGCCTCAGACACTGTTGGGAGGTTTAGCCCCTCAAGCAAGAGGTCTCTTAGATTCTTGTTTTCCAATCCTGGTTGGGTATATAAATTTTTGTAATAAATTTCAAAACACTGACTGATATCATTTAAGTCATATTTTATACTACCATCACTTGAGTCTCTAATCTTATAAATAGTCCTCTCTGTTTGCTGCTGCTTTATTTTATACGCCAATAATTTAGTTGATTTTCTACCCACTTCGTAGTACTTTTGCTTAACAAACATTACGTTTTTAAGTATGTCTCTTGATTGGTTGTTATTTATTTTAGTTTTTATCTGATGCATCTCCTTTTCCAGGTTTGCATCCAATGTTGTTTTATGTTTCCTTTGTAAATCTTTTAATTTTGCTTCCAAATCAATAAGTTCCTGTTGTTTGCTTTTTTTTAATGCAGTTGTCTTAGCAATTATTTTTCCCCATAACACTGCTTTGCAAGCATCCCATAGGATGGAGGGAGAGACCTCTCCGTTGTCATTTTCTTCCACATATTTTTCTATTTCAGCCCTCAACTCCTCCTTCATCTTCCCATTTAGAATAGAGTTATTTAATCTCCAAGATGTAATCCTTTTTTTACAGTAGAGTAGTACTTCCATCTGAACTGGGCAATGATCTGATACATCCATTACTCCTATACTACAAGTTTTAACCAAATGCACATCCTTGTAAAACATCAAAAAATAATCAATTCGGGAGTAGGCAGAGGGGGGATTTGAATAAAAGGTGTTAGTTTTGGGGTGGAATTCCCTCCAAACATCAATTATACCTGATTCAAGCATTATGCTGTTGATTTTTTTGCTAAGTGAACTGTTTTGGGAGGAGCTCCAACTTGAAGAGTCTAAACTGGGGTTTAATCTAACGTTTAAGTCTCCTCCACATATCACGAGGCCCTGGGCTTAAGAGCATTAGCATTAGCATTAAGTCAAAAATTTGTTTATAGAAGGACCAATTTGCCCCAGGAGGCGCATAGACGTTCAGAAAAGTAACTTCTGTTCCTACCATTAATCCACCCACCATAATGTATCTTCCCTCCCTATCTTTAATTTCAAACTTTACTTCAAAAATAAATCTTTCTGATATCAGTACTGAAACCCCCCGTCTTGGGCCGAATTTGTAAGAGGCTGAAAAGACCTTATTAAATCCCCTTCTCTTCAGTTTTGCGTGGTCTGGTTCAGAGAGATGTGTCTCCTGTAGGAACACGATTCCCACCTTGTCCCTTTTCAGTTTATTCAAAATTTTACTCCTCTTGATAGGATTGAGAATGCCATTTACGTTATATGACACTACTTTAATTAGGTCTGTATTCATTGTACTTTTTTGGTATTATCACCCAGCCTGTCTCTAAAGTAACCTTACCCCAAATGCTACACAAACAAAACACATAGCTCCAACATTAACTGAAACTTTGGAGCTTCGAACATACTGTTGAAAATAAAAACATATACAACACTGAAATGACTCCCTGAGATGGGGTCTTTTTTATGACCCTGTTGTGGCCGTGATGTCCTGACGGCTCAGAGGGATTTCCTTCCTCTCTCATAAGGGGTAGAGGGCCCTCAAAAAGAGAAAATGAGCGGTACTGCATAATAACTATTGCCCCCATAATAGATTATTTAAATCAGTATGCATACCTAGGAGACAGAGTCCAATATTCAGAGGAAACGTAAGCAAATTATAACCCGACTTTCTCAGATACGTTTGGAAAAAAACAATCAATTAACAAAATATATATATTTTTTTTTAAGTTTTTGACAGTCAAAATCGTTAACCTGCTCGGACCCAGTCTCTTTCATCCACAACAATTTACTCTAGATGGCAAAGTCACTTTCTTCTGCTCCTGCTGCAGAGACAAAGTCAGTTACTTTCTCCTGAAAGCGTCCAGCTTCTCCTTATAACCCATGTGCGCTGCGGCTGTCTCAGCGTCTTTTCCCCGGAGAGACGTGTGCCACGTTAGGCGCTTGATTTTCTCCTCCCAGCTCTCTGGCGGCGTGAAAACTTTCACAGGTAGTCCCTTTGCTGCCATATCCACGGTTGCCTCCTCGGCCGAGTTGTAGAGTTTAGTTTCGTCTTGAAAAAAATACTCTCAGTCTGGCTGGGAATGGCGTCTGGAATTTTATTTTTTTCTCCTTCAGCACCCGTTTTGCCTCTGCATAATCCTTGCGTTTTTTCAACACCTCCGGAGCATAGTCATGATCTATATTCACTCTTTTCTCTTTGTAAACAAACCCACGTTTCTGCCAGGCTGTCTTCACGATGTCCTCTTTGGAGCGGTGGCTAGCAAACTTGACCACAATCGATCTCGGCGGTGCGTCATGTGGAGGTCGGGGACCCAGAGCCCGGTGTGCCCTTTCGATGCGCAGGTCTGTGGAGGGCGGAAGGTCCAGGTTTTCTTTCAGTAGCGTTTCGACAAAGGAAATCACAGAGGCTGTGTTATCTTCAGCCCCTTCGCAGACACCGTGGATCCTAATATTGTCCCTTCTGGCTCGGCCATCCTGATCGGTTAACCTTGCCTCCAGGTGAGTCTGTCGTTTAAGCATCTCTAGTATCGCTCCCTCCACTCCTTGTACTCGCTCTTCCGCCTCGGCGATTCGCACTTCTGCCTCGTCAATCCTGTTGTCAGTCTTGTTAATCTCTTCCTTAATGTCCTTCAACGTGTCTCCGTTCTCTTTGCGAAACTCTCTCAATTCTTGGAAAATCACGTCCAAGTTTGCCATGTTTTCCTTCCTCGCTTAGTCCACCTGTAACAAGCTGGCTAGTGCTAATGCTAGCGCTAGTTTCTTCTTCGAGAGACTTGTCGGTCACGGGGTATTGTCTCGAGTCTCTACCTTGTCCCGGCTTTTTCTGCTGTATCCTAGGCATGTTATATGCCCCTACAACTAATTATACCAATTTACAGTGTTATCTGACCAAGTAACTGGGGCTTTAGAAATTAGCTTGAAGGAACTGCGGGATTAGCGTGTTGCCTCCATGGCCGCTCAACCGGAAGTCCCTTAAGTCTTAACCTTCAAGTCTCAAGTTAGTGTGGTGAAAATCAAGCAAGTCGAGTCCCTGCTCAATTTTTAATGCAAAACCATTTCATGGTTCTAGTTTCACAAATGTGAGGATTTCTTGCTGCTTTTCTTAATTGTAATGTGTTGGTAAGAATGTTCAGGTTTGGACTGTTACTTCAACAAAACAAACACTGTGAAGGTATCACTTCTCAGTGACTGTGGCACCATTTCTCTTTATTTTCATAATTTTTATGAGCCAAAAAATCATTGGATTATTGGAGAAAATAATCAGCAGATTAATCCATATTGAAATAATAATCATTGGTTAATATTGAAAATCAGCTCCACCTCAACCAGCTACAACAGTAAAATCCTGCTTTTACATTAATGCATGAGTCAGAGTCATCTAATGACATCATATATATAATAGTATAACAGCCACAGGGGGCGCTTTTCTCAGTACAGTAGTTTAACTTTTAGTACTTTTAGGTGCATTTTCCTGATCATACTTGTACTTTTATGTAACATTTTCAATGCAGGACTTTGCAACACAGTATAATATTCAGGTAGTGGTATAGTAGAGTAAAGGATTGAAATACCTTCTCTCCTGCTCCAAGCTCTGTCTGAACAGACAGGGTGAAAGACTCCACTCACATAAAGCACCTGCTGCTGTGAGAGACAGGGAAATTAATCATGCTCCGAAAAGTCTCAAAATGCGAGCAGAGCAGGAGGGGGAGGCAAAATAACTCACTGAGCGACAGTGGTGTGAGAGGAAGATATCTCATGGCATGTGGGAGTGCACAGCAACCGCACACACAAACACTCTCACACATAGTGAACTCATTAAATGGAAAAAGGTTAAGTCCTTTCAACCATCTCAAGTCTAAGTCAAGTCTCAAGTCATGTAATTTGCAACTTGAGTCAGACTTGAGTCAAGTCATGTGACTCAAGTCCCTTCCCTCTGCCTTCAAACAAAACACAGCAGCTCAGACTGTCAGAAACATAACAAAGCTACATTTTCATTGTCAGCTTGCTGTGGGCAAGAACTATCACACCACCTGTCCCACGGTGCTCTACAGGGCCAACGATGACCGCAAAATGTTTCCCAAAATGCATCTGGATCAAGTGGACCTTAAACATGTGTACCTGTCATTTCAAAACCAGGTCGGTGCTCTGAACCTGTAACACCTGTGAGGCTCTGTTTGACTTTTTCCACATTTTTTTAATTACCACAATGTCACATGTACGTACAGTACAGGCCAAAAGTTTGGACACACCTTCTCATTCAATGCGTTTTCTTTATTTTCATGACTATTTACATTGTAGATTCTCACTGAAGGCATCAAAACTATGAATGAACACATGTGGAGTTATGTACTTAACAAAAAAAGGTGAAATAACTGAAAACATGTTTTATATTCTAGTTTCTTCAAAATAGCCACCCTTTGCTCTGATTACTGCTTTGCACACTCTTGGCATTCTCTCCATGAGCTTCAAGAGGTAGTCACCTGAAATGGTTTCCACTTCACAGGTGTGCCTTATCAGGGTTAATTAGTGGAATTTCTTGCTTTATCAATGGGGTTGGGACCATCAGTTGTGTTGTGCAGAAGTCAGGTTAATACACAGCCGACAGCCCTATTGGACAACTGTTAAAATTCATATTATGGCAAGAACCAATCAGCTAACTAAAGAAAAACGAGTGGCCATCATTACTTTAAGAAATGAAGGTCAGTCAGTCCGGAAAATTGCAAAAACTTTAAATGTGTCCCCAAGTGGAGTCGCAAAAACCATCAAGCGCTACAACGAAACTGGCACACATGAGGACCGACCCAGGAAAGGAAGACCAAGAGTCACCTCTGCTTCTGAGGATAAGTTCATCCGAGTCACCAGCCTCAGAAATCGCAAGTTAACAGCAGCTCAGATCAGAGACCAGATGAATGCCACACAGAGTTCTAGCAGCAGACCCATCTCTAGAACAACTGTTAAGAGGAGACTGCGCCAATCAGGCCTTCATGGTCAAATAGCTGCTAGGAAACCACTGCTAAGGAGAGGCAACAAGCAGAAGAGATTTGTTTGGGCCAAGAAACACAAGGAATGGACATTAGACCAGTGGAAATCTGTGCTTTGGTCTGATGAGTCCAAATTTGAGATCTTTGGTTCCAACCGCCGTGTCTTTGTGAGACGCAGAAAAGGTGAACGGATGGATTCCACATGCCTGGTTCCCACTGTGAAGCATGGAGGAGGAGGTGTGATGGTGTGGGGGTGTTTTGCTGGTGACACTGTTGGGGATTTATTCAAAATTGAAGGCACACTGAACCAGCATGGCTACCACAGCATCCTGCAGCGACATGCCATCCCATCCGGTTTGCGTTTAGTTGGACGATCATTTATTTTTCAACAGGACAATGACCCCAAACACACCTCCAGGCTGTGTAAGGGCTATTTGACCAAGAAGGAGAGTGATGGAGTGCTGCGGCAGATGACCTGGCCTCCACAGTCACCGGACCTGAACCCAATCGAGATGGTTTGGGGTGAGCTGGACCGCAGAGTGAAGGCAAAGGGGCCAACAAGTGCTAAACACCTCTGGGAACTCCTTCAAGACTGTTGGAAAACCATTTCAGGTGACTACCTCTTGAAGCTCATGGAGAGAATGCCAAGAGTGTGCAAAGCAGTAATCAGAGCAAAGGGTGGCTATTTTGAAGAAACTAGAATATAAAACATGTTTTCAGTTATTTCACCTTTTTTTTGTTAAGTACATAACTCCACATGTGTTCATTCATAGTTTTGATGCCTTCAGTGAGAATCTACAATGTAAATAGTCATGAAAATAAAGAAAACGCATTGAATGAGAAGGTGTGTCCAAACTTTTGGCCTGTACTGTAAGTGTTTCTAAGTTGCTGTGTTTGTGTGTTGTTCTAGATGAAGCATGTGCCTGTGTCAAAGTGCAGCACATACACAAATGTGCAGGACTGTTGGTCTGCTCAGGACCCATACTGCATCTGGTGTGGCTCTAAAAGAAGGTCAGGAAACAACATCTGCAGCTGACCCCTTCAAACAATTACAAACATGGTTAAAATATAAATTTCTCTTCCTAGATGCACATTTGAAGACAACTGCCAAGATTCAGACTGGTTATCCATTCCTGATGATTTCCAACACAAAATGGTTTCCCACAGAGTTGTAAAGGACGACACTGACCAGGTACAGATAAGCTTTTACCTGTAGTCAGTTGTGACTGTCAGTTATTTCTCTTTTAAACACTCACATCCTTCCTTTCTCAGATCACACTTAACATCCAGACCCACCTGACTGTGGGCCAGACGGCACGAGCTAACTTTAACTGTCAATGCTCATCAAGTCCCAGTGGTTTCATCCTCTGGAAAAATCCTCCCCCACAGTTTCCACAGTGCAGCTGCCCCCTTTCAACCAAAACACTTCCTGCTGAAGGTCAGTGACTTCTGATAAATATAATAATCCAGTGAATGAAATACCTGATGATCAATGACCGTCACACTGTCACAAGAATCCTATGAGATGAAAATGTTGACTACTTTGTGTTGTCTCAGAGTAAATTGTTACAATTCATAAAAAAGTGTGTTGCTCAGCATTCTGACTGAGACTCTAAAATTTGATGTATTATTTTTTAATTATCAGGCCTGCACATCACAGTTAGGCTGAGACTTGGGACGACACAATGGTCACATCAGTTGAGGCTATTCAACTGCTCTGACATCAGGGGACCGCCAACTTCTGTCCTGTAAGTGCTCTACCATTTTCAGGAAATCTAAGTAGACAGATAATTTCTAATACACAAAAATGGTCCTTTTAGATATGTTAGAGCCAGCACTATTCATGTCTGCCAAATTAAAATGCTGCCTCGAGTTTTACAGAAGGTCAATATTCAGTGACCTAAAATTCCGTTTGCATGCAGATGAAAGGCCAAAATGTATGAAAAAAAGCTATGTCTAAAAAATATATTCTTGTACATGTGGACCAGGCCTGAGTTTTTAAAGTTTGAAATACAGCATAACATCCCTTATCTTGTGGGAATGAGAGGAAGGAAACATCTCTCTGTTTAAATTAGATAGCCAGTAGAGTCATGTTGCTAGCATACCTTGTTTGGTTTTGGGTCAAATTAATTGTAATGGGTGAATGCCAAAGAGAGCAGTCAGGCTCAATGCAACATTGTAAGATTTCAGAGAAAGTGGAAGACTGATTTCCATAATTTAGGTGAAAGCATGACCAGAACATATGAAAGAGTGAGGCAGGGGCACGTTTGCATTTGTCAGATAGAATGCACCTCAGGGTTAATTTTAGTTCATCTTGTTTTGGAGATATGAGTATGATTTGAACAGTTTAAGTGTGTGTGTGACACAAATGCTATCTGAAGATTTTAGATTAAGGTCTTGTTCACATGCAGTTTTATTAGTTGACATGGGGCAGCAGCTTGTGTTTGAGATAAGAGTGCAAAGCTGTTCGTCTCATGGTGTGAGTTAAAGTCTCACTCAAATGTGTTAATAGAATTATGTGAGGGTTTCCTCTGGAACTAAGCATGTACACAAAACTTATTTTTTAAATGTTTTTCTTTTATGAGACCAGACAAATTTAAGCATGAAGGGAGAGAGGAGGGATGACATGCAGCAAAGAGCTGCAGACTGAAACTGAACACACAGCTGCTGTGACAAAGACAATGCCTTTGTACACGGGATGCCTGCTCTAACCACTGAGCTACTGGGTGCCCCTATTGCACAAAATGTCTGACTTGGACACTGGATATACCAAATTCACCTGTCACTTGGGAGAATGATGGAAAACAATAACTGATTTAAAATAGTTTTCAGAATATTTTAAGACCTTATTATGCCAACACTGAAATGAACATCAAGAGTGGATGAAACAACGTAATGGTTAGCTGCAGCTGGACTATGAGGTCTTGGTGATTTGTCAAGTAATTATTATCATATATGAGTGTTATCAACAATAATCGGTGATACATCTGTTTCTCCTCAGGTGTCGGCATTGTATTGAGGCTGGATGTGACTGGAGCACAAACAGCTGTTCCTGGGCAAATCAAGGAGTGGGGGATGTAATTATGCATGTTTTATGTATTTATCTAACATAAGCTTCCCAGACATGTTTATAAGTGAAACATTTGGACATCAATGCAACAGCTCCACATTAATTTTAAGATGTTTGTAAATTTGAAGACTGTAAACAACACTGAAATTCTGCCAAAACCTAGTCTGGTCTGGTCGGTCTTTCATAACAACATAATAAATAATCAGCAAAACAAGTTTACAGTGAATAAAATTCAGTTTAAGTAGTGGATATGTGTGGCTCGACAGACGGGAGTCAAACTGAATAGGCTGTTTGAAAGAGTTGAGTTTTGAGGTGGGATTTGAAAGTGAAGAGAGAGTTGATGTTATGAATGTCCTGTGGGAGGGAGTTTCAGAGGCAGGGGCAGAGCGGCTACAGGCTCTAGACCTCATGGTGGTCAGTTGGGCTGATGGGACAGTGAGGTGGATTGAAAAGGAAAACGTGAGAGTGTAGATGGGGTTGTGGATGTGCAAGAATTCAGAGAGGTACAGAGGAGCTAGGTTGGGGATGGCCTTATAGATGAGGAGTAAGATCTTAAAGTCAACACGCTATTTAACAGGGAGTGAGCGAAGCTGCTGAAGAACAGGAGTGATGTGACTGGAGGAGGTTCTGGTGATGAATCAACTCTCAGTAGTGCTGTACAGTGAATATCATGTAAACCTGCTGAATGTCTTCACTTCCTCTTGCAGTACAGTGTTTGCCAAAAGATGGACTCAGGCAGGACCTTTGCTGTAAGTCTGAACCTCAGTTCTCACACACATTTCTCCTCTGATGCTCACCTCATCCACATTCAGTAAAGATTAAAAGGTCAGAAAAAGGTAATGGTTTAAAAGTCATAATCTTTCTGTTTGTTTTACTGTCAGAGACCAGAGATCTCCTCCATCACTCCCAGCGTCGTGTCTTTCTATGGCAGAAACCATGCGGTGTTGTCGGGTTATAACCTCAGTGATGTGATCGGAGTGAGGATCCAGGCGGACATGGACTGCACTCCACAAGAGTGAGTCAGTTCACTCGCGATTACGATTATACTTAGACTCTGAATGGCATTTGGCAATGGAAAATGATGTATTTTGGATTTAGGGTGAACTGTCCCTTTAATAATTTCCCTCCAAAAAAGTGGGTCTTGATCTCAGTGAGATTAACTGGTTTCTCTCTCTCTGTCATCCTGTGTCCTCTGATCAGAGCTCCTGTGTGGGACAACACCGGTGTGAAACTAACGTTCCACATTCCCAGTGCTGATAACAAAGGCGTGGTCAAAGTATGTGTTCTCCTCCCAGACGGTAGTTGCCACGGCAATGCTAAAATCACCTACCGCTCATCCCCATCCTGCAACAAAATTGCACCAAGCAGCACCTGGATCAGGTATGACTGGATTTGTTGGTATTTTCCCAACATAAATATACAGACTTTAAAGAAAGCCTTTCTGAGGGAGATGTGACTGGGTCAGTCAAGAATACTTTGATGACCGTGACAACGTGAAATCTGATCTCATTCGGATAAAATACTGATCACTGTAACCCAGGGAACTTGCAATCCATCATCCAATGGAAAGTTGTGGGAACTTAGATCACAATTCTTTTAGCTGGAACAATATGGGGCACTGCAGTGACTTGTGCAAACTGATTGGCCCATGGTTTCGCTCAGTTTCTCAGTTGGAGTGGTATTGGTAGTTTTACTCAATGTGAATTGTAGACAACCAGATGTAAGTCTCTGCTGCTTTTGCCTACTTCCACTCTCAGACTGCACAGCGTGAAAAGCCTCTGTTAACTGGTTAACATCATGTTTTGGTGTTAGTTTCTCTAAATCAAAGGGCAAGAGCTTTATTTACTGAACATCACACACTGCTGGAAGAAAATATGAGGTACAACACTTTATATTCATTTATCATCTTCTGTTAAGCAATAAACAATAAAAGTGTCTTTCAGCAGGTAATTCGAACAGTGAATACAAAATACAAAACAGAACTTTATTCATCCCCAAGGGAAAATTCAATTATCTGTCAGCTCATCTATTATATGTCAAAGAATTATAAAGCCTGATGGCTGTTGGTACATAGGATCTTCTGTATCTCTCTGTCCTGCATCGAAGAGAGAGGAGCCGTCCACCACAGTTTTTTTGGTCCATCAAGGTGTTGTGGACTGGATGATCTGGGTCAGAGATTTAAGCTTATATTAGGTGGTAGCCACAGATGTGTTTTCACCACCATGTCAGGCTGTCATTGTAAGAACACCTTCTAGGCTTTTTTCCTCTTCTCTGATTTGCTGCTGCTCTGTTTCCTGTAGTGGGAAGAGGAAGATCACACTTACGGGATCCCACCTGGAGTTTGTGGAAGGGGTCATGCACAGCCATGCCCAGCAGGAAATCGTAACTCCCAGAAACAGACACTCTCAGGTGGGTCTGTAGACATCACAAAGTCCCAGGTCCAAATATCACAAGACATTAACATTATTAGCAATGGGAGATTTAAATTACCTAAATAAAGAGAAATCAAATAAATAAATAAACAAATACACATGTTATATGTGTTTCTTTTTTGTGTATGTATTAACTGTGTCATAATTACTAGAAGGACAGGGAGTGCACGTGCATCGGCATCTGTGTCTACCTGTCAGACGCCCTGTCATGATTTCACTTTTTATTGAATTTGTATCAAGCTATTGGGCATATCTTTTTGATATACTTTCAGATATTGGCCTTTTTTTACTACATCTTTTAACTGGTTGAGGGATTTTATTCATCGAACATTGATTTTAACTTGTTAAAAGGACTTTTTCTCTGCTGGAGCACTCACAGAAGAGCGAGCGCATAAGCCGAAGTGCACCACTCTACACTGCCCATTTCAATGATCATGCTGTGTTATGAGTTACCTGTGGGCTGAATCCAGCTACAAAGGCTGTGTGTGCGGACTGCAACAAGTAATCAGTTAACAGGATATCCACCACCTGAAGATAGAGCTCCAGAAAAAGGACCAGCTAATTGAAAGCTTTCTCTCTGTAGCTGCTGCCCAGTCAAAGCATTATCTGTTATGTAGCTGTAGTGCGCATGCATCAGCCTCTGTGTCAACCTTTATCAGACTATTGGGCATATCTTTTTGATACACTTTCAGATAGTGGCCATTAATAAACCACGTTTTATTAATTGGACGTGGATTTTAACTTATTTAAGGATTCACCCTCTGCTGGAGCACTCATGGAAGAGCGAGAGCATAAGCCGGAGTGCACTACTCTACACTGCCTAGTAGCAGTTGCTTTTAACACTATTCTAACATCGATCGTGCGATTACTTTTATCTTGTTGTTTTAACTTGTCCATTACAATGATCATGCTGTATTATGAGTTACCTGTGGGCTGAATCCAGCTTCAAAGGTTGTGTGTGAGGACTGCAGCAAGTACTCACAGTTAACAGGGGATATCCACCACCTGAAGACAGAGCTCCAGAAAAAGGACCAGCTCATTGAAAGCTTTCTCTCTGTAGCTGCTGCCCAGTCAAAGCATTATCTCCTACACACGGTCCTCCTGTCTTGCTGTCCCTGCTGCCCGATCACCCCCCTCCCCAGTGTCATGGATGGTCTCTGCTTCTGCAACCACCCTTCCTTGGCTGGCCTCAATAATGTCACTCAGAAGAACAAGTCATTCAGTTATTAAAAACTCAAATTTAGACAACATATTGGCTCAAACCCTTAAAAAATATTTACAAATGTCATGTGACATTCAGTTATCTTCACATCTGCCAATGATATTTAACACATTATTTTTTTCCTTTATTTACTTATCTGTATTTTTTAGTTTTGTTAATTATCTTTTAGTCAATTTGTCTGAGCATTGTCGTCTGTTTAATTATACAGCTCTGTTACCTCTCTAGTCCTTCCTTATTTCCACAGATTTATATGGCCGTATGATGTATTCCATTTGATGCTGTTTTTTCTGTTCAGAAGAAAATAAAAAAATACAGGTTGAAACAACAAACTTAAATTCAAATAACTATCCATTTACCGTATTTTTTCATTTAATTATGACACAGTGAATACATACATAAAGAAAAATACATTTAACAATATGTATTGTTTCACTGTTGTCACACACTTGTTTGTCACACACCCTTTGTTTGATTAGTGCATGCCCAAATATACCAAAATTCCCTTTTCTACCTTTTCCTCCTTGCAGAGTCTCACCTATGACACACCTGCAGCTAAAACAGGGATTTCTACCAGCACTGTGTTTTTGAGAGTCGCCAATGAAACCTTGGTCTGCTCCACAACAATAACCTACTACCCAGACCCCGAGTTCATTAACTTCACATCCACAAGAATGGGAAACGATGTTCTTATCATCATACAGGTAATGCATGTTTTTTAGCACACATGTACAAATGTAGTACATGAATATGTTAAAGCTCAGAGTATTCCCCCCGATATTTCAGAAAAAGGCAGACAAACTGGAGATGACCCCAGCAGAGCTGTCAGTGTGGGGTGTTAAGGATGGACAAGAATACCCCTGCGTCATGGATCCCAAAAGAACCATTAACAACACTGAGTTCATGTGTCAGATTCAAGGGACACCTGATGATACCTTTCAGCACTTCAAAGTAAATCTTTCATTCAGACTGGACCAGTCTAGACACTAATATACAAAAAAATTCAACCTAAAGTTTATTGTGATTGTAAACAGGCCAAAGTTGGGTCATACCACCAGATTAAAGCATATCACAGCAAACCCCTCAGAAGTGTATTAGTTTTCATGCAATGGCTTTTAAATTGAACGTAGTAATTATACACATAGTAACGCATGTTTGACTCACTGCTCTGGTGAGACGCCCCACTGTAAAATTTCTTTTCTAATAGCAGTGTCATTTTTGTTTTTCAGATAGCGTACGGTGACAAGACAGTAACACTCTGGTCTCTATCTTCATTGCATCACGTCATTCTGACAGTGCGAATTGTGCTGATACCCTGTGTTATTTTTGGTAAGTGCTCTAAGTAGCTAACTGATAAAGTGACTGTGATATATGTGATGAAGTCTGCATTAATTTCATCAGTGCTATCAGTTCAACACCAGCTGTTAATGTGACAGCCTGAACCTGAATTAATTTAGACAGTTTTCTCTTTTGCTTCTGTATGATTCTGTATGATTGTGTGTAGTTGTACTGAAGGTTTAGTGGTAAAAATACAATGTGAGAAGCTTTTCCACCCAGACAGTAGGATTGTGCAAGTAAAGCCAGACGAGAGTTGTCAGAATGAGAGCAGACAACGCAAAAATAAGACGTCAGGATACAGATGATTTTTCAAGAAGTAGACACCATCTTGCTTTGGGATCAGTCAAGCTGCGATATAATGAGTGCTTCCAGCCCCATTGCGGGGGCCACAGCCATCTTTGAACCTGGCCTTGAGTTTAATCTCAACTCACGCCTGTAAAATTTCGTGACTACATCTTACATGGTTGTGACATTATCGCTGTGACCTATCATGACCTGCTATGATAGGTGTCTCTAGGACCACATTTTGCCGTGATGACAGACCCACAAAGTGAAAACAATACCAGCTGTCACAATGATGTCACTGCTGGTGAAAAAATGTCAGGATGTTGACTTTGATTCCAAAATATCATCTATTGGCAGCTTCAGTCCAAAATCACTGGTGTTAGCCTTAAAACCTGTCTAGTCCAAATATAAGAGCTGTTTTCTTTCAGTTGCCATTTTCTGGATTAGGTGCTATTTGTCTGTTTGGTTTGAAGGAGTTCACTGTGTTTGTCTTTCAGCGTTGGTGATGATCTGTCTGTGGCAAAAGAGGCTAACTGCTGACATGAAGAATCTCTGAACATGACATCACACCTGGTGAACTTCTGCTACTCCATGATCACAAAAGACACTGCACCTCATGTTCATTTTTATTCCATGATGACAGACATTTCTCCACCTGTGGGTTACTGGGGTAAAGTTCACTCTTTGGCCCCAAAATTATTTAGAGAATCAACCTTAACTGTACAGTGAGTGTAGGAGGGCTTCCTGCAGTCTTTAGTATTTGAATTTTACAGTATCTTGCAACCATTTTCCATATTGTTCAGCTCAGGTGTAGTTGTATCTTGGAGGCCATTTGAAGAATTCAAATGTGTGTTCTGACATAGAAACCAGGGTTCAGGGGCTTTTTTGTGTGATTAAAAATTACCTTTTGCTGTTTTATGGAGTATAAGTGACAGAGGAAACTGGGGACATCAAATGATCAGTGTTTTAAACAACACTTTTGTTTTAATGTTAATCATATTCAGTTTTTGTTAATTGCTCCTGTGCTTGGTTTTCTTTTACTTAAAATATATATATTTTAATGTTGATCATATATAGTTATTGCTGTTTGTATTTCTTTTTCTTAGTTTTCTTCTTCTTTGACTTAAATGTTATTATCTTTATTTCAGAGTTTGGTCACAGAGAAAAACATAACATAACAGCTTTATTAGTTGACCATTTGAGAAAAGGCACTTACTTTTCCCCACGTCACTCTATACTTTCTATTGATTATGGAGTGTTTTGTACTCGTCTGCACATGAGCTCACACTATTGAAGCCAATCCCTCTTCACCGGACAAGCAGCAAGGATGAGAGGGAACAAGATTGGGAATATTGTGAGCAAAAGACTCTCCTGTGAAACCTGAGCGGCCCTTTGCGTTAGATATTTGTAATCCATGCTTTATATATAGCTGTGTAAGACAGACATGTAGAAACAATCAGAAATGATTGATGTGAAGTTCTGATAGCTGTATCACCATCAGTAGACCATACTTGTTCAAAGTGTATTAAATCAATGAGAGCACGCCCTCTGGTGGCTGTAGGATTAAATAGACATGGTCTAACCCGACTTTAAGTGAAACCGACAAGCTGTGATGTACAGAGTGTTTCTCAGTGGACTGAATGCATCAAGGTTCAGGAGCCGCAGTTTTCATTTTGACAGCTAGGCCTATTTTAGATTTAGACTTAGTCTTGAGACAATAATGTTTATAAGTTTTAGTCGACGAAAATTCAAAACGTTTCTTTGCGCATCTGTCCCTGCAGATAACAAGATACAAATCTCATGTATAGGGTTGTTTTGTGGGTGAACAAAATAAATTTCTGTTAAACATACAGACTGCATGCATTCATATACAGAGATGTTAGCCTTTATTTCTGCATATCTCTGTATCATGATGTTGTTGAATATTATTTGTGGCCTACACGATTCAAGCATTGTTTTAATAGGCTACAGTAACTGTTTTATATAAACATAACTTTTAGTTTTTAGTCAGCTATTGCAAAAACTACACATCACATCCGTATTGCAATGAATTGTGGGCAATTAAATCAGTGAAGTCTGCTTAAGTCTACATAGGCTGCAGACTTAAGCAGACTTCGCTTATAAGCGGACTTAGTCTGCAGAAGGTCCTCATGAGGCCCCTTGTGGACTGGTTGAATTGTGGATTTGGAAAGCCCTCCGCATTCCCAGACTTCCCGGGAACGCGCCCCGCGAAGTCTGCGAGTCTGCATGTGCGATGAGGTTCAGACATCTGGATTCAGCCCCAGTGTTGTAAACCAGGGCATCCATGACGCACAGGGTCACGCCTCACAGCCTCTGCTCTCCAACGTTAAGGAGAACAAACTGAGGACCAACTTTGATCATGCTGACTGATTGTTTCGGAGAAATCTACACTGAGCATCCTGCAAGACAAGAGACAGAGGACAGAAACATGAAACACCACAGCAAGCTGCTCAGAGGTAACTACATTATCATAAAGATTTCATTTTTCAAAGCTTCATTCGATGACTCAAACTTTTCAAGACGACTTTTCAGAAACTGAAAAGGAACATTCAACAATTGGATGAAAAGAACTTCCCAAAGCTGACACTAGATGTCAGCCAGACATCACGAGATATCTTCAAGCTGTAGTTTAGACATACAGAAAGTTGAATTTTGCAGTTTTAAATGCCTGTGACCATAATGCTGTAACCGACCGTAAGTCATACTGTAGCCTGTCGTCACTCTTTGCTTTGTTTAATGGCTCATAGATGCTGGATGAGAATCATATGCTGTGTAAACTGCGCAGATCCCCTTTTATGATGATAGGGACCATAGTCATGCGCGGGCTACAGTGGGCCAATCAGAACTCCCTGTTACTCGCCCCGGCTTTGGCTCCTCACGAGGTGGATATCATCATGTGAACTGATGAAAGTGTTCATCAAACGCTTTGTAGTCAGCTCGAGGCCATCGCCAGGAAGTCATATCACTGCATACACTGGTTATGTGCAAAGACAAACTTTGTAGGCTTTGTAGTTGCTGTTCTAACAACGGAACACATTCAGCTGAGTGAAAACAGGTTGCAAATCATTACACAGAAATAATTATGTCTGTCAGTTTTTGGTTTCGCTGGGCGCGCTCCCTCCCACTTTCAGCACTTCTCTTTTCAACAGACGCGCGCTGCGCTTTTACGAACGACACTGTGGAGGAGAGCACAGTGCCATGAAGACCGTCAGTGTGTGAGCGTTTGGCTGCCACCACAGCAAGAAGATGATCCTGCTGCCTGGTCTGCTTTTTATTCTCTGGGGAGAACCGGGTCGGTGCCTGGAGGAGAATGTAGGCTTCACTTTCGATGGAGACATCCGCCACTTCGCCGTGGCCAACGACACGGTTTACATCGCCACAGAGGAGAGGCTGTACCAGCTGAGACACGACCTGACTCTGGTCCAGAGTCTGACCCAGAGAGGAATCTTGAAGGGAAGTTTTCAGACGGACGATGCTGAGTTTTCCCGGGTTTCTGAGACGGACAAATGGAACGCAACTTTCAGCGTCAACGTGTTATTACCGCTTGTTCAGGAGGACACTTTGATCAGCTGCGGTGTGATCGACTGCGGTTACTGCGAGATGCTGGACCTGAAGAACATTTCAAACGTACAGTACAAGGAGCACGTCAGGGTGGGATCCCCGTGGCGCAGCAGTGCGTCCGTCGGCTTCCTGGTGGATGTGGAGGAGACAGTTGCCGAGACTTACATTCTGAGTGCCATAGAGCAAAATGAAGGCAGATACACAGAGACCGGCTGCTCAGTATTAGGAGCGGTGTTCCTTCACAATACGAATAACAAACAGGACGGAGGTATATTCTCTAACAATGACAAGAACAATGTCAATGTAATCAAACGCAGGCACACGGATGGCAATGTGGAGTTTGTGGATGGATTTCAGATCAATTCAATCATTTATCTTTTCTCCAACCTGCCTTTAAATCAAGAAAGCAACACCATCCGTCTCATTTGGCTCGAGGGCAAAACGAGCAAAAGGGAGACTCTCAAATCGCTGCGGGGAGCGACTCTCCGTGTCTCTGATGATGGTAAAGGCAGCAGACTCATCGCCTCCGCGGTGATCCCGGGTGGGCCGCCGGTGCTCTGGAGCGGCGTGTTCAGTGTGGACGGAGGAGAAACCAACACCGAGCTGCTGCTGTTTGACATCAGCCCGGATCTCACCGGAGCCAAAGATGAAGATCCAGACTTCTGTAGTGTCTGCCCTAACAAAGTAACGACGGTGGGTCGTTGTGTTATAAATAGATTTTTAGAGTGATAGCGCATGTTGTTGTTTCCACCTGTTACAGCAGTGTAAAGTGTGATCATGAAGCATCTACAGAAAGACACATCATTTCATTATTCTGTGTCAACAAAGTTTCAAAAGTAGAAACACATCAAATGGTTTCCTTCCAATGTGGGAACATGCATTAAGTCAGTGTCTGTGGCTAATGACCATAAAAGCCTCCTTATAATAACAATAATAATAACTTTTTTCCAGACTCTTGAATCAGTTTACAAAGTGCATAAGAGTGAAATGTGTGAGCAAAGTTCTAAGTAGCTTGAAAAATAATGCACGGAAACTAGTTTTAAGTTTTTCTCCAGGGGAGTTTCTACTTGATCTCAAGCAGTTCCACAAAAATTAGGTTACCTGAAAGTATTTGCAGGCTTGCCTTCTGGTGACAGCATATTAAGAGGAAGGTTTTGCTGACTGAAGCTTGACCTAAGCAAAAACTGTAGATCCAAGGTTCATAGAGGTCAGTTTTTGAGGCTCTTATGGAGTTGGCTGCTACAGAAATGGTTTCAAAATAATTAAGACATCACTTTCTCTGAGCACTCACATCAGCTACATAGATATGAATTAACTGTTGGCATACTAGTTAGCCACTGAATGAGACACACTGGACCTTTTAGCAATGTTGATTTGATTTTCTTGAATTGTGTCAAAGTAAAACCCAAAATCAAGTTAATAATATATTGAAGTAGACAAATAAAACCACACAGAAATTATACTGAAATGGGATGTGTCCCCATGTAAATGATAATTTTGTAAATGACACTATGTAATGCGTCTGCCAATGCCTTCCTGTTGCATCTCAAATTCAAAGACACAATCAAATGAGAAACAAAAAAAATACCTATGACTCACCATAAGTACATCTGATGACCTTGCAGTTCAGTTAATTAAGTTTTGAGTAATCATAAGCTACTTCATGCACCCTAAATACTTTTCCAGGATTCTATGAATGCCTCTTGGGTCCTAATCTTATGATCAATGTGTGTGTGTTTCTCAGCCAAAGACATTGAAGCCAAAGGCAGTTCTCTTCAGGCAGAACAACATGACCTCTGTACTGGCAGTGACACAGAAGGCCTGGATGGTTTTATTCATTGGGACGGGAGATGGGCAGCTCATTAAGGTGTGTACAAAAAGTGATTTGCATCTATTATCAAAAAAAAAGAAAACACTTCATATCAACCACGCAGGTCATAGTGTGAATCAAGAGCTCTCTTTGTTCGTCAATTCATTAAAGCCACAGTGAAGTGGAAAAGTTTATTTTTCACATAGTGTACATCTAGTAATATTGAATGGTAAAAAAAAAAAACATTGCATATATTTCAATCAGGAGAGACAGAAGAATGAAGTACAGACAATATTTAATACAGAATGAGTGTACAGATAAACAGATGATTCGTGCTGATTAGATTTAATAGAAGTCTTTGTTGCTTGGACACCAGAAGGAGATATTATGTGATGGAGAGACATCTGAGTGGCAGCAAGATAAATACCCCCATAGAGTCCAGACACTGGTGGTGGTGGCTGATGACTCTGAGGCTGCTGAGGATGATGAGGCTGATGAATCTGTAAAGAATAGGTGGTGATCAGGAGGTGGAGGGCACACAAGACTTCAGCAAGAAAGAAGTACAGTGGAGACAGAACCATGTTTAAAATGAGGAGCAGTAAGATGATAGGCTGACAGAGAAGGTGTGTCGCTGCTCTTTTGGTTGTTTGTGAATCAGCTGATGACTCAATTGACAGACC